AATGCACATTTGTTTTGCAGGTAACGAAATGTGCATGTATTATTTTTTGTTGCAGGAGCCCATGAAGCATTGTACCCGTGATCGCTGATGTCATGCAGGTCTCCTGCAGACTTGTCAGTGTATCTGCTTGCCCACACCTTGTACTACCACAACGCTCACAGCGATTACTGGCTGTTGGGACTTGTAGTCTTCCCCTCACAGAGGACTGTGAATGAGTGACAAGGCCAGGTGGGCGTCTTTTAAAAATGTTGACAGTTAGCTGGGGGAGAAGATCCCCCACTAGCTGGTCAAAGAGGGGGATTGGGGGGGGGGAGCAGGGGCCGGTCTGTTCATGACATGTTACATGTTACACTCTGAATATGGGTTTAACATGTAACATGTTGCGAAAGGTGAACTTATTCTTTAAACACTGTTGATAGGGAAAGTACCCAGCAAGTACATGAATAAATCAAACTGAATTGAATATTGAATAGCCCCCCCTTTTTCCGCCAAAACAGCCCTGACCTTCTCAGACATGGACTCCATGGACTCCTCTGAAGGTATGCCTGAACGTATGCTGTGGTATTGGCACCAAGCCATCAGTGGCAGATCCTTTAAGTCCTGTAAGTTGTGAGGAGGCATTACTGAGTAGCCTATATAAGCAGAAAACCAAATGTAAAGACGCTGTGGAACTCCAATCAGCTACAGATACTGCAGCTTTTATGCAGTGAAGTGATGCAATTAAAGGCTAATATTGCATCATCTCAGTATACATGACATTTTCTATTGGTCACCAGTATCAATTGCGCAATATGCAGCTGAAGTTGCATCATCATTTTGAATGGCTTACGTCATTAGATGGGTGAATATATCATGGAAACTAGAGCCAATCAACATTTTTTAGGGTCATTTTCGTTTTCAGCACCCCAAAATTATGTAAGATTAGCTAATTTTATGCCCAAAACTTTTTACCTGTTGAACAGTGTAATAAATTGTGATAAAGCTATAGCTCAGTCAAGAAGTGGTTAATATATCAGTAACAATTATATAAGTCATAATAAATTGTGATAAACAAAATAACCACAAATAATAGCGCAATCCTAAATTAAATCAATAAATTAATTTGCACAAATATATATAACCACCTCCAAATATGTGCAAGTTAATAGTGCAATATCATAAATAAGGGATCTCAATATAGTCCATTCAAAAAAGTCCATATATCAATGATCCTCAATCAATGAAGTACTGAGATCCTCCTTCATCAAATGTGATATTCAGTGCTCAGAACACCCCATCAAAATGCACACTCACCATGTGCTAGTAATTAACCAGCATATTAGTATATATCCAGCATTCACCAAACAGACTCCAAGAGAAGATCCTCATGTGTTGGTAATCAATCAGCATATCAATATATATCCAGTATTCCACCAAACAAACTCCGAAAGAAGATCCTCTCATATCCAAATTAGCACATGTGGGTAAAGAAAGAACTCGCCATAGTGCAGGCATGTCCAAAGTCCGGCCCGCGGGCCATTTACGGCCCGGGGGTCGGTTTAATACGGCCCTCCAACAGCCCTCCCTGCTCTGTGTAATGTGGCCCTCCCACGGCCCTCCCTTCTATGGCAGACAGTCTTCTGCTTGAGAGCAGAGGGCAGTGCGCATGCGTGACTGCGGCGCGTTCTCCCTGGTCTGTGTAATGTGGCTGTCGCACGGCCCTCCCTTCTATGGCAGACAGTCTTCTGCTTGAGAGCAGTGCGCATGCGTGACAGAGGGAGCGACAGAGGGCGGTGTCGTCAGGGCCGGGCTTCCAGCGTGAAGTGTGTTTCTCTTCCCCTCCCGGCTGCCGAGCAGAGACTTCAGCTCCAGCTACCTTTTTCACCCTTCACATTAGTGCAGGTAAGTTTTTTTTTTATTTATTTTCAATACATTGTGAAAACTCAGCTGTCAGTTGATCTTAATGTTATGAAATGAAAAGTATGTCGTTTGCAATTACCTTGGCATAAAATAATTTATTTGCATTTAATTGTAATGGTTCAAAGAATGTTCGGAAAAATGTTCGGCCCTCCACCATGTTCACTTCATCCAATCTGGCCCTCTTTGAAAAAAGTTTGGACACCCCTGGCCTAGTGTAATATTATCCAACAGATTCACGCACACAATAAGCAAGTAAGAGTAAAGCATTTGTTGCATCAGGGCTCAGTGCCCTATATCCAGCGTCTCACCAGCCTGCCTGCACTCAAGATGGCGATAGTGCTATCACGTGATCCGGACACATGCGTCGGCGTGCGTGGTGACGTCACCGGCTAGCCACACCCTAACGTGTTTCGTCCAATGACTTCTTCCGAGGGAGTGGTAAGCTTCATTGATTGAGGATCATTGATATATGTACTTTTTTGAATGGACTATATTGAGATCCCTTATTTATGATATTGCACTATTAACTTGCACATATTTGGAGGTGGTTATATATATTTGTGCAAATTAATTTATTGATTTAATTTAGGATTGCGCTATTATTTGTGGTTATTTTGTTTATCACAATTTATTATGACTTATATAATTGTTACTGATATATTAACCACTTATATTAACTGAGCTATAGCCGAATGACAGCTACAGCGTGGTCGTCCAGTTCTTGGAGGACACACCCCCAGCGGCACGCACCCGGCGCTCTCTGTGATCGTGGTGTCCTGTCAAAGGAGACATCTACATTAATCACTGTTCAACAGGTAAAAAGTTTTGGGCATAAAATTAGCTAATCTTACATAATTTTGGGGTGCTGAAAACGAAAATGACCCTAAAAAATGTTGATTGGCTCTAGTTTCCATGATATATTCACCCATCTAATGACGTAAGCCATTCAAAATTATGATGCAACTTCAGCTGCATATTGCGCAATTGATACTGGTGACCAATAGAAAATGTCCTGTATACTGAGATGATGCAATATTAGCCTTTAATTGCATCACTTCACTGCATAAAAGCTGCAGTATCTGTAGCTGATTGGAGTTCGTCTTTACATTTGGTTTTCTGCTTATATAGGCTACTCAGTAATGCCTCCAACTTGTGTGAATAAAGCAGATAATTTCTGCTCTATCTGCGGTGAAATAACTTTTATCTCACAAAAAAGGAGGATAACAGGAATGATTAAGAAAGCCTACAACTTGTATTTTGGCTGCAAGATAGGAGACCAGGACAAGAGCTGGGCACCACATATATGCTGCAATTCTTGTGGGACGGCACTGGAGCAATGGTTGAATGGAAAAAAGGCATCTATGCCTTTCGCTGTGCCAATGATTTGGAGAGAGCCAACAGATCATGTTAGTAATTGTTACTTTTGTATGGTGCCTCCAATTGTAAAAGGGCTAAATAAGAAGAAAAAGTTATCTGTGCACTATCCAAATATTCCATCGGCAATACGTCCAGTTCCTCATGGAGAGGGGCTACCAATTCCTAAAGCACCAGAATCCTTCGTGGTTGAGTCAAGTGAGGAAGAACCTGAAGCGTGTAGTCACGTGCAGTTGTAAGAGATAGCCCTTTCCTCGAATACAAGAGAAAAGCCAAGAGAAGCAAAACCGACACAAACTGAAGACAAAACTAGTGAGAATCCTAAGTATTAAAATGATTCAACTTAGCTTATGGCTATCATTTTTCTTGGTAATCCTATGCAATATATTATGCCATTTAGGCTTTGTTATGTAGTCAATATCACTTGCTGTATATTTGTGGAAAGACATCTATCTATATAATTATTGTGCATTATGTAGTCATTACGCCTATAGTAGAAAACTTTCCGTTTACAGAAAAACTAGAGCCAATTGACAAATTTCATTGTTATATTTGAACTCAGAATGTGAAATTCATTAAGAAATGGATCCTTTTGTTTCCAAAACTGGCAAAAAATAAAAATTTTTTGAAGTGTTATCAGTGCCCTAATTATTAGTACAGCCTCAAAAGTGTCCATCAGTGCCCATCAGTGCTGCCCTTCAGTTACCAACAGTTCTGTCCATCAGTACCCAGCAGTGCTGCCAATCTGTACCTGTCAGTGCTGCCAATCTGTGCCCATCAGTGCTGCCTATTAGTGCAGCCTCACCAACGCACATCAGAGAAGGAGAAAAATTACCATTTGTAAATTTTTATCAAAACAAAGAACAATGTTTTTTTCCAAAATTTTCGGTCTTTTTTTCTATTTATGCGAGAGAAAAAAATGATAAAAATGTAATATGGGTACAGTGTTGCATGACCGCTCAATTGGCATTCAAATTGCGACAGCTCGGAAAGCTGAAAAATGGTCTGGCCAGGAGGGGGGTAAAAGTGTCCAGTAGGCAAGTGGTTAATGAACATGGCAGCCGGTTTATATACCCGGTGGTGTTAGGGCTCCCACACTTCGACAACTTAGGTCGCCGCTTTAATCAAAATATTATCAGGACGTTTGGAGTTCAATATAACATTCTTGACTAGACAACTTCAATGATGCAAAAAGGTGCCAAACCACATTCGTTGCTGGATCTGCAAACCTCGTATTTATTCACAGAATGGAAATAGATAATGATGTTCCTGAGATATACTGTATGAATCCATTTTTTAAAAACATTTCTAGTATCTGTAAATAATTTATGAATTTATAGTTCAGCATCTAAAGCAGTAATGCGTTTCGTCTGGTTCCTTCCCTAGGCTTGGAGAGTAAAGTCTTTGTCTTCCCCAAAGAAACCAGCACAGCTCATGTCATTCTAAGACCTGAAATTACAAGACCATTGCAGGAATTCAGCGTCTGTCTACGTTCCTATACTGACCTTTCCCGCCCCTATACTCCCTTCTCTCTTGCTACTCCCGGGAAGGACAATGCCTTTTTCATCTACTTACAGCCCCCAAACACTTGTTTTGTATCCATCAACCAGGAAGTCACAAATTTTAGGATAGACTCGGAGTCTTTGAACTGGAGGCACATCTGTGTGACCTGGGACTCCAACACTGGAGTGGTCCAACTTTGGGTCAATGGGAAAACTCTACCCCAGAAGAGTCTCCATGAAAGGGTCTTCTATTGCAGCTGAGACCAGCATTGTCCTGGGACAGGAACAAGACTCTTTTGGTGGAGGGTTTGATGCTTCTCAGTCATTGGTTGGTGAAATAAGTGACGTCCACATGTGGGATTATGCCCTGACACCAGAAGACATCCATAAAGTCATCTCTGGCAGACACAATGGAAATGTCATTAATTGGGTATCTCTATACTATGAAATCAAAGGGGAAGTTCTTGTCCAGCCCAGACTTCAGTGAAAACGAATGAGCTCATCATTTACACTTTGTATTTAAGATGCCCCAATTGTTGGTTCTGAATTACAGAGATGATGATTTATTTGTCATCCCCATCAGCAATGAGGGTTGATAATGATAAGTGTAGATCAAACAATGAAGGAATCGATGTTTTCACAGAGTAGTACTAAAACAAATTAAAAACAAGATTTGAAATCAAAGGATTTTTTTTTTTCTCAGTGGTAACATAATAGTCCTGGTTGATTTATAATCCTATCATCGTAACACCATAAATAATTCACATAAATCATCTGAAATAAAAAATATATAGAGGCAATGTACAAGCTGCATTCTCGTGTTTTTACTTTGATATAAAACCTGAAATCTAATTGGTTAGTTTTAGTCACTTGTCCCCCCTTTCCTTCTACTCCAAGTGTTTGTAGGAGGTAATAAGGGGCAGAAGCAAAGAGGAGATCCATTGTACACTACCAGCCTAGCACAGGGGGGCAATGAGTGTGGTACCTATGACCTGGTAAGTCCAAGTCCAGGGGGGCAATGAGTGTGGTACCTATGACCTGGTAAGTCCAAGTCCAGGGGGGCAATGAGTGTGGTACCTATGACCTGGTAAGTCCAAGTCCAGGGGGCAATGAGTGTGGTACCTATGACCTGGTAAGTCCAAGTCCAGGGGGCAATAAGTGTGGTACCTATGACCTGGTAAGTCCAAGTCCAGGGGGCAATGAGTGTGGTACCTATGACCTGGTAAGTCCAAGTCCAGGGGGCAATGAGTGTGTGGTACCTATGACCTGGTAAGTCCAAGTCCAGGGGGCAATGAGTGTGGTACCTATGACCTGGTAAGTCCAAGTCCAGGGGGCAATGAGTGTGGTACCTATGACCTGGTAAGTCCAAGTCCAGGGGGGCAATGAGTGTGGTACCTATGACCTGGTAAGTCCAAGTCCAGGGGGCAATGAGTGTGGTACCTATGACCTGGTAAGTCCAAGTCCAGGGGGCAATAAGTGTGGTACCTATGACCTGGTAAGTCCAAGTCCAGGGGGCAATGAGTGTGGTACCTATGACCTGGTAAGTCCAAGTCCAGGGGGCAATGAGTGTGGTACCTATGACCTGGTAAGTCCAAGTCCAGGGGGCAATGAGTGTGGTACCTATGACCTGGTAAGTCCAAGTCCAGGGGGCAATGAGTGTGGTACCTATGACCTGGTAAGTCCAAGTCCAGGGGGCAATGAGTGTGGTACCTATGACCTGGTAAGTCCAAGTCCAGGGGGCAATGAGTGTGGTACCTATGACCTGGTAAGTCCAAGTCCAGGGGGCAATAAGTGTGGTACCTATGACCTGGTAAGTCCAGGAATAATCACCGCCCTGCAGATAACTGGCATCTACTGATGATATTCATCAAAGTTACAATTAGCAATGAGCAAAAATGTACCCAGTTTTGGTCTTGGGTACTTCACCAAAATGTGGATGTTGAATCCAACTCCCATTGAAATCCATGGGAGTGTAGCCCCCTTTGTCCTAAACAGGGGCTACCACCTAAATTTAAATTTTGGGTGGTCTGTAGTCAGTTTAGGATGATTGTATAGATTTTCATTTGGTGATTCATGTAAAGCAAGAGGAAAAGAGCCTCTCCATAGTATAAAACAATGCTTGTTAAAATGCTTTATCATATAAAGAAGTGCACTTCCACAAAGGTAAAACACATGTGCATGTATAAATATTCACCAACCAGGCGTGGACATCTACTTCCTGGTACGCGATGACGTCAGTAGGAAGCTCTGCCCAACGTGATTGCTCCTTGTGAGGAGGAATTGTAACGCTTTCTTTTTGATGGTATTTAATCACCACTGTTTTTTTTTTCTTTTTTTTTCATTTCTGCTAAACAAAACAAAATTTCCAAAAAATGTTTTACTTCGTTTCTGCTATAACATTTTACAAATAAGTAATTTTGAAATCCATGGGAGTGTAGCCTCCTTGTGCTATAAACCACCTAGCGGGGCCCCTAGCAGTCCACAGGACAGGATTCCCCAGGGCGCGGAGTCTAAGCCCCAGTCTGCTTGTTCGCCAGAGCCCCTGATGGTGGGGATGGGCTTGGAGCAGACAAAGACCAGGTCGCGACCCCTGAGTACCCCCGTCTGTGGCAGCGGGACCCGCCAGAGGTATGTGCAGGTAGAGAGCCTGATGTGAAGAGGTGGAAGACTGGATCCGAGCGGGATGGATGGATGGCAGAGTAGTAAGCGTGGTCAACGAGCCGGGTCAGTAACAGTGGGGTCAGCGTAGTACAAGGCGGCAGGCGGAAGAATAGTCAGGTCACTTGCAGGGGTCGGCAACAGGGGTTCAGATCAGGTACGGAGTATGCAGAAGAGAAGTCAGACTAGCCGGGGGATCAGAGCAGGAGAAGTCAGCGGAGGTCAGGTTCAGGCAGGGTCAGCAACAAATCTAGGAACACAGGAACACAGAGAAGAGACCATACGGCAATGGGTGTTAGTGCAGGGCAGGTTTAAATAGTGTGCCCTGCCCTGCTATTGGTGCCGGGTGACCGGCCGCGATCGCGAGTGCGCATGCGCGGCCGCCGCCGTACAGGTCTCAGAGTCCGTCGGATCGGATGGATCGGTGCTCCGCGCATGCGCGGAGTCACTTGCCGCCGCGATCCCTGACACCTTGTCCTAAACAGGGGCTACCACCTGAATTTACATTTTGGGTGGGCTGTAGTCAGCTTAGGTAGATTGCATAGCTTTGCATTTGGTCTTACCCTAAGCTGGAATTGGGTTGTAATTCCTTACTGCGGTCAGTAGGTGTCACTGGTTCTCCCCCGGCAATAGAATGAGATTTCACAAACAGAACAGAGTTATAAATATTTATATTTCCTTTTGCCAGCCCTGTAAGAAGTTCAGGTCACTGATGCATGCTGGGGGGGGGGGGGGTATAAATACTTAGGACAGGCCATGTGCTTGCTCTCTTCCCCTGACGTGATGACGTCAGTAGGAAGCTCCAACCAACATGATTGCTCCTTTTGAGGAGGAATTGTAACACTTTCTTTTTGGTTGTATTTAATCACCACTGGGGTTTTTTTTTTCTCTTTTTATGCTAAACAAAACAAACGACACAAAAAAAAATGTCAAAAACAATTTTTTTTCTTTGTTTCTGCTAAAACATTTTGAAAATAAGTAATTTTGAAATCCATGGGAGTGTAGCCCCCTTGCCCTAAACAGGGGCTGCCACCTAAATTTACATTTTGGGTGGGCTGTAGTCAGCTTAGGATGATTGTATAGCTTTTCATTTGGTCTTACCCTAAGCTGGAATTGGGCTGTAATTCCTTACTGCAGCCAGTAGGTGTCACTGGGGCTCATAGAATAAGATTTCACAAACAGAACAGAGTTATAAATATTTATATGTCCTTTAGCCAGCCCTGTAAGACATTCAGGTCACTGGTGCATGCTGGGGGAGGATATAAATTCTTAGGACACACCATGTGCTTGCTCTCTTCCCCTGGGCTTAGGCCTTAGGAGGTGCTGCTGGATGGAGCTCTGATTTAAGGCACAGTAGTATAAGGTGGGCTGAAGTGGTCCTGAAGCTGTCCTGCCTGGTATGGAGGAAGCTGTGCAAAGGAGAAGGTCCAGGGGAGGTCCCTTGTTGGAGAAAGCCAAGAGGAAGGTTGGTTTCTCACAGAGTCTGGTGGCTCACTTGAAAGATGTAGTGAACTTGGGATTGTGCTTATAGTGGTGTTGCTGGGTCGGCTTAAAGGTTCTGACACTGTGAAGCTGGATATGGATCTGGAGAGTCTGTAGGTGATCTTCATGGTATCTGGGATCCCTAACCCTCACCTTCCTCACCTTTCTAAAATAAAAGTTTAAAAAGACAAAAGTTACTGGAACCCAATGTTCCTTTCAATCCCCCATTGTAGGAATGGACCACGCCCTGAGGTGATGTGCTGACCCGCCGCCTGCCTCTAGAGGTGCCATCACGCCTTTGGAGTGTCGGGGGCCAGACTTTAGAAATCAGTAATTGCTATTTTTTGTCAACTTTATTACATACACATTTCTATTAGAGTGTTAAATGCGTTGTTTCTAAAAGGAATATTGCTCTGACAGCGTTCTTACAAGAGAACTCTTAATACAAGAACATGAATTCATATGGGGACCGGCAGCCCAGATACTCAACCTTTTTGGTTATAGTGTGTACTTTTTTTTTGCAAAGATGAAATGTCAGACGAAGAGAGCAGGCAGATTTTATGTCAAATAATTGAATAAGTGTCTTTTTTTTCTGAGACTGAAGACCAAAAGATTGTACATATTTGCAGCAAAGTTTTTGAAGCCTTTTTGATAGTCCACAATTTCATGGGGAGAGAGCAGGCAGATTTTATGTGTTTTTCTAAGACTGAAGACGGAAAAGTTGAACAGATTTGAAGCGCACCCTTTTATGCCTTTATTGGATAGGTCGGGACTTCTGAAGGAAAGAGAAAGCATATTGCTTGTGGATATAGAAAATCACTTTTTTTTTAGTCTGAAGGTGTTGCAGATTTGCACCACAGCTAATAAGCAGGGATTGGGCAGACATTTTTCATTTGGACATGAAAAATGTGTGTTTTAGTGTTTGAATTTGGAATCATAGAAATATCACACATTAGCACCACAAGTACATTTAGCCCCTTTTTTGGACAGTGACTGAGCGGGCCAACTGCATCTTGAAATTTTAAAAAAATTTGATTCAGGGACCAAACACAGAGAAATATTACAGTTTTGTACCACTGCTATTAAGCCTGGATGGCCAGGCCACAATTTCCGAGCAACTGGGTGTCCATATTGCATGTGGGAAAAAAAAAGTATTTTTTTTAATTTAAATTGAACAGAGAAAAAAAATTATGGATTTGCATCACACCTTTTAAATTTTTTTTGGATAGAACATTTTCTGAGGGAGAGAGCAAGCAGATTGCATTTGGAAATAGAAATCAAATGTCTTTTCCCCGGGACCGGAGACAGAAAAATGTTACAGTTTTACTCCACAGCTGCCAAGCCTAC